CAGTGGTGATGACCACTTAGGTCCAAACTCTAAACTGATGTTTTTGAGAAAGCAAATGGGAAAATTTTGGAATAGATAGAATTTGTTGAGTGAATGGAGGCATAATATGGTTTGACATGGTGACGAGTCGTAGTTACAGAGGACTCACAATTAAAGAACCATTAAAAAACCATTAAAATACAGTTCCCCCCCCCCCCTTATTGTAGTTTTACTTTCAGAAACAAACCAAAAGAAGCAACAGGACACATGCATGCAAAAACACAGATTTGAAATGTAACATCTTTTACTTTGTAAATGAGTCTTGCTAGCATGTGGCTTTAACAAAAAACAACTTTAACTCTAAATGCCTTTACACACTGAGCACACGGCAGAAAAAATGACATGAAATTTTGAATTTTTCAAATGAAAACTTGTCGTTTAAAGTATATTAAAGTGCCCTGCAGACTGTTCACAAAGCTGAGGGATCTGGGACTTAACAGCCGTCTGTGTGCATGGGTGTTGGACTTCCTCACTGGCAGAACTCAGGTGGTGAGGGTGGGCAGGTGCTTCTCCAACAGCATCACCATCAACACAGGAGCACCTCAGGGATGTGTCCTCTCACCACTGCTCTACTCCCTCTACACTTCAGACTGTGTGGCCACCCATGGCTCCAACACCATTGTGAAGTTTGCTGACGACACAGTGGTGTTGGGTGCCATCTCCAACAACGATGAGGCGGCCTACATGGATGAAGTGAAGAATCTGGCATCGTGGTGCCAGGACAACCACCTCCAGCTGAACGTCAGCAAGACCAAGGAGCTGGTGGTGGACTTCAGAAGGGGTCAGCACAGAGACTACAAGCCCATCATCATCAATGGAGCTCCAGTGGAGAGGGTGCCCCTCTCCCCAAGCCATCCGTGCCCTAAACACACACACCCGCCCTCTCACATCATCTATAATTGACTGAGACAGGACTCTTCCAGACACTAAACCAAGGCACAATGTACATTTCAATTCCTTTAATTTTAAATATGTTTATATTGTCTATCCTGTAAAATAGTCAGATGTCTATTCATATTAATGTACAGAATTCACCTGCTTGCTGCTACTACTGCACATTCACCCAGTGTATATACTATATGTCTGTATATATATATATATTGTTTTTCTTCTCCCCCCCCCCCAATTTTTGCACATGTCGAGGAGCGTGTCAGGCTACATTTCACTGTGTGTTATACTTGTGTAACTATGCATGTGACAAATAAAGAACCTTAAACCTTGAACCTTGATATACACATCAGAAGTATTTTGCGAAAATATATTCCCAAAACATAAACTACGGGGGGAAAAGGGAGCTGTAGCTGCCTTTAGAGATATTGAAATATCTCTAGCTCTTTTTTTTTGTCAGTTGGGCAGTTTGAGCTCTTGTTGGCAGAGTTGGGACCACATCGGAAGAGGCAGAGAAAGGATTGACCCTGAGCAGCGTTTAGTGATGTGTCTGAGGTACAAACAGGATTATTTTATTGTTTCCCTATCATTGTATATTCAGTAAAGTATTGAGCTACGAGTGCACTTGTTGCCAAATGAAGGGTGTCTGATTGGTCACACCTGTTTATTTGCTTGCAAAATCAGGAAAATCGAGAAAATAATTGCTGCAAATTTGTCACGTGAAATTATGGTGTCTGTGTAAACGGCTGAAGAAAACGTGAGTCAGAAAAATACTTTTTTTCAAAGGCCTCAACCCAATACAAGTCTCTGCTAAGCCAGTAGCTGCTAGGAGTTTTACAAGTTCCTCAATAAATCCTGATCAATTTCGTTGTGTTAAAAAAGCAGGTCTTCGGAGGTATTCATCAATGCAACTGTTTTATCACCTCTGAGATAAAGTCAGTGTAGAAAAAGAGTAGATAAAAAGGCTTGCATTCACCCAGATGTTCAAAGTCAAATGTCATGAGTTTGACATCATAGTTTTGTGCTGTGCAACTGTTATCAGAACATTTATGAGAAGAATTGATACGCTTGGAGACGTACGATTTCAATGGACTGGACAGTTTTCAGGTGAAACCAGTACATCCCTGTTCACGCCACATGAAGTGTCTGACTTGGTTTGACATGGCTGTGAACACCCATTACCTCAGCGAGCATGTCACTGTTTTTGATCTTTCCATGCACTCTGCTACATCATTTCTACCTTCTAATTGGGATTCTTCTCACATTGGAGCAGCACAAGCTTTCAAAGACAAAGGCATTTTCACAGAGACAGGTGTGAAGCCTCCCAAGTGTTTGTCAGTGATAAAATGAATTATACTCTTACTAGAAAGCAGCCTTGATCATAACACTGCCAAACTTACTTTCTTAATGCTTCTTAAATCTGAACTGTTTGAAGAGTCTTACCAGTGTGCACTACATCAGAACACCACATGCTTTTTAGACTGTTATTTTAAGCAGACAGCTGCTGGTGTTTGACCATGTTGGTTTAGCATGAGATAAAATATGGGACTGAAACCAAGATTTTTGGTGTTGATGCTATTGTTGTTTACTCGTAAACTGTAGATGGATTTTGTCTTGTTGTGCTGATTTGGAAATAAAGGTTTAATCATATGTGTGTAATGTACATTGGAATTGACATTAGATTGAACAGATGATTCTAGATATACAGTGTGTTAAAAGGAAGGTCTGGGGCACCAGTTCAGCTCAGTGCGTTGAGCATGCGACCACATGCCATATGGCCGAGAGTGGCCGGCCTGGGTTCATAGTCCGACCTGCGGCCCTTTGCTGCATGTCTGCCCCTGCTTTCCTATCCTCTCTTCACTGTATCTGTCAAATAAAGCTGAAGATATGGATCCCTGATTTTAAATAAGAATAAATTTACTGTTAGGTACTTACAGTGCATTCTACATATTCTCTCTCTCTCTTACTCATATGACAGTTTTGTTCTCTGCTTTTTTTTCTGATAAAATAAAATGATCCACCAGCAAAGATTGTTCAAAACAAAAATGCAAATTTGTGCAGTCATGAAAATATCTTGGTTAGAAATGTTCTCTTTCGATGTTAGTACTGCTACTAACCAGGGACGCTTTACCAGATGGGCTCATTATTTTTATCCACTTCCACCTGCCAGCAATCAGTCACCGTAATGAATCCCAGAGCTTTTCCAATCACGTCTAGAAAATGACACAGTATTTAACATCCTATTTGGTAACTGGTGAGGGGTAACGTATGTGGACTCCCTCAGTTTAATGCTGTAAAAACCAAGGGAGTAAATTTGCTCTCTCTCTCCACCTCTAAACCAGCTGACACTAACTAATTGACTTGCTGTACGGCTTAATAATACTAAAAGCAGGAAGGGCCATCTAGCCAACTCATTACATAGGACTAATCCTTTATAGTTAATTAACTTTTATTTTTCCAGTGTGTCAAACACGGGAAAATGTATAACGCTGTCAAGGGTGGCAATTTTTCTTACTTCTATATCCACCTGCTACATGTGAGAGAGACATTTTAATGCCAATGTTGGCACAGAAATGTACGAATAGGCTAAATGCAGTATGCTGAGATATTTTCATGCTGGAAAAACACTAAGTTGATTCTCATGTTCAGAAATTCATAACACATTTGCTTGTAGCATTCCAGCTTCAGCATCTTACAAATAAATGAACAGCATGCGTGGGTGGGCGGGTGTTCCAGCGTGGGAGGTTTTGCACTGTGGCTTTTCTCATGCCTTTGAAGGTTGTGCATTCATGGCTGTATTTTTGACTGGTGAAAATCCCACAGATTTGACTCACATGAATGGGCCTGCTGCAGACATATGTGGATGCTGTTTAGTGATGTGTGGTAAAGAGGATGGTGTAAAACTCTATCTCATAAATGAAGAGAGATGGAAGAGCGATTACCATATTCAGATTTGAATTTGAACTTTTATTCTGGTTTGCCAAAATAAGAGTGTACTAATAATCATGGTCTCTCTCTCTCTCTTTCACGAGGCCGGCGTGGACACCCAAGTTTGTGTATGTAATCCTACATCATTTCAGAATGAGGTGACGTAGAAATTTGAAATTGATACAATAGTACTACTAAAAATATCGAGTTTGAGGTTTTCGAAAAAGGGGGCAACACAGAGTTTTCAAATTGATACCATAGCTTCATCTATTCGAAGGCTGGCGCCTGTACATTATTTTAATACTGAGTTTAGGGATTATTGTCAATTGCTCTTATTTGGCTTTTTCAAACACTGACATTTTTAAGGAAGAAATACAGAAAAATGATGACAACTGCAGACGTCTGTCCAATGCATGTGTATATAACCAAGTTCCAAGTACCTCATTGCATATTTAAAGATTTTAAAGATTTAAAGTCCTTCCATCCTAGACCCCTGGTTTAGTGTCTGAAAATGTTTAAATAAAAGCTTTGTGAATATTCTGTCAAGTCATTACATCCAAAGCAGATGCATCCATATATAGCTTTTGTGTGTGCAAAAATTAACAATGATTGCGATAACTGTCTTTTGTTGTTTATCTTTTTATCTATGAAGTTGGATTTTGCATTGGTGGTTGTTGGGGAAAAAACACATACGTGAACATTCAACAAGTCCCATGCTAGAAGTACCAGTACATTGTGAGAATTTTCAAGGTCACCTTGATTGGATTGTTTTTTGGTTCACATCAAACAGAACTTGAATGAAAAATATTAATGCATACTTTCAAAAGCTCTTAATCTGTCATAAATCTTACTTGCTGTCAAGGTTTCACAGAAACACAGATAAATAAATAAACTGATGTAATCATTTCGGTGTATGTATTATTTCTGCAATATTTTTAGTTCTTCAAATTAAATTTTTGTTGTGGGTTTGTTGTTTTTCAATTCGGTCTAATCACACAAATTACACCATTAACCACATTGCTTAGAGGTAAAAAAAAAAAAAAAGGTACTTTTAAAATCTTTATATAATGCAAGTAGAGTAGTCGTAGCCTGCTTTGGTAGCATGTACATATTAGAATTTACACATATCTCTTTCTTGCTTCTAGGTCATGGAACCAAAGGGGTGTTTGAGCTCTTGGCGGGCTGGAGGAGAACCAGGGAAAACCTCCCCTTCAAGGAGCGAGTTGCAGATGCGTTTGCCGACGTGATGGTGTGCTACACTATGACCAGTTCACTCTACATCATAACGTTTGGCATGGGAGCTAGCCCGTTTACTAACATCGAGTCAGTGAAAATCTTCTGCCAGAGCATGTGTGTGGCCATCCTGGTCAACTACTTCTATGTTTTCTCTTTCTATGGCTCCTGCCTGGTGTTTGCTGGACAGCTTGAGCAGAACCGCTACCACAGTGTTTTCTGCTGTAAAATCCCCTCAGTGGAGTACCTGGACCGCCAGCCCACATGGTTTAAAACCATGATGAGTGATGGCCATGACCTGTCCACACACCATGACAGTGTACCATACCAGAATCACTTCATCCAACACTTTCTGCGAGAGCACTACACAGAATGGATTACCAACACCTATGTCAAACCATTTGTGGTCATTCTCTATCTTATTTATGCTTCTTTCTCATTCATGGGATGTTTACAAATCAGTGATGGATCAAATATTGTGAACCTGTTGGCGAGTAACTCTCCAAGTGTTTCGTACGCTCTAACTCAGCAGAAGTACTTTAGTAACTACAGTCCAGTGATTGGATTTTATATTTATGAACCCATTGAGTACTGGAACTCCACAGTGCAGGAGCACTTGAAGACTTTGAGTCACGGTTTCAACAAGATCTCCTGGATGGACAACTTTTTCCACTACTTGCGGGTAGTGAATGTGAGTGCATCAACTAAGAATGACTTCATCACCATCCTTAAAGGTTCCTTCTTGCGTAGCCCAGAGTACCAGCACTTCACAGAGGATATCATATTTTCCAAGAACAGCGAGACTGACGAATATGACATCATTGCTTCAAGGATGTACTTGGTAGCACGAACCACTGAGAAGAAACGTGAGGAGGTGGTGGAGCTTTTGGAAAAGCTTCGGCCCTTGATGCTGATCAACAGCATCAAATTCATTGCCTTCAATCCAACGTTTGTGTTCATGGACCGGTATAGCTCCTCTGTCATCTCCCCCATTCTGACCTCAGGCTTCAGCGTACTCACCATCCTCATCCTCACTTTCTTCCTGGTCATCAACCCATTGGGAAACTTTTGGCTCATCCTCACAGTTACATCCGTGGAGCTGGGTGTCTTGGGTTTGATGACTCTCTGGAATGTCGGCATGGACAGCATCTCAATCCTGTGCCTTATTTATACCCTCAACTTCGCCATGGATCACTGTGCACCACACCTGTACACTTTTGTGCTGGCCACCGAGCACACTAGGACGCAGTGCATCAAGTTGGCACTGGAGGAGCACGGGGCTGCCATCCTGCAGAACACATCTTGCTTTGTGATTGGGATCATGCCCCTGGTGTTTGTGCCTTCCAATCTGACCTACACACTGTTCAAGTGCTCCCTCCTCACCGCGGGCTGCACTGTGCTGCACTGCTTTGTCATTTTGCCTGTCTTCCTGACCTTCTTCCCGCCGTCCAAAAAGAGGCACAAGAAAAAGAAACGGGCCAAGCGGAAAGAGCGGGAGAGGGAGAGGGAGCGGGAAAGAGAAAGGGAAAGGGAAAGGGAGGAGATAGAGTGCATTGAAGTCAGGGAGAATCCGGATCACGTGACAAACGTCTGAACAGTTTGTAAGGATAGCAGTCAATAGTAGTGCTGGATGCTGAGGTACCTCTTGAGGTGCAGGGGAATATGACATTACCCCTGAGGAGTGAGAGGTCATCACTCCTAGCCAATAGCAGCTAAGCTGGCCAGAATCGAGTACAGCCCTACTGGTCAGTTGTGTAGTCCTTCAGTCTGGACAGTGTATCTCATTTGCACAAACTGCAACACGGTCATGGTTCTAAGGCTCTTTTCCAACTCTTTGGTATATAGAAACAAGTTAGCTAGCAGAACACATGCTTGCTCAATCTGTAAGTAAATCTTGAACACACAGTATGTTATTCCATTTAAATATTAGTAATTATGTGTTTGTCTCCTGCAGCCCTCTTCTCAAAATGAGTGAGGATCATAGCAGTCTATTAAGCCAAGGACATTCAAACAAGTTGGCAAAAGCAGCAAGAGCGATGAAGAGTGTACAAATTAAAACTGTGCAAACAATGACTGTGCACACACATTACTCCTCACACCTTGATAAAGGTGAAAAGAAACAAAGCCAAATTGCGTGGAAAGAGAGAAACAGTGGGCTGAAAGCACACTGCATGCTTTTCTGTATCATTATAAATAACCGAACAGCTGAACTGGGCAGATGGCATACACTGTGTCCATTATGAAGAATTATCTTGCACATTGCAGTGTGTGATTAGAACTGTCAAGGTTTATATAAGCGGGAAGCAAATATTTCTGCTTTAATTCAGAGGTTGTATCAGGTCTTAGGCAACAGCAGAAGGAACTGCAGTGGGCTGCAGCATATGAAGAGGAAGTGATAAGTGACAGTCATGCAGGAGTCTTTGAGAAGGCAGTAAGCCTGATTCTTAGAGTATGACTTAACTAAATCCTAAACTGCTTTTGAACCCAAGCAGCAAAACCAAAAGTAAAGAGTGTTTCCGTGGCTTGAAACGTCGAACTTCCTACCAGAAAATGTTCCCAAAAAAAAGTGTGTGACTGTCCCCAAAAGCTTACTGTTACTGAAATTGGAAGGTCTGAATATGAGTCAGTACAGCAGTGGTGCCAAACAGTGTACAGAACAAAAGTCTTGGCAAGATTGAACATTTACATGAAGTCACAAGTTATTTGAGCTTATTTAAAGGATTGCTGGTTGATGTTGCTCAGGTTGTGATGTGAATTATAGCACAGGCTGTAAAGTATAGTATCAGTGTGAAAAGAAGACAAAGGAATCTAGCTTTTGTTGCACAAGTAGGAAAACAGAAATCAGGAAAGCAAGAGTTATTCAGAGGTCAAGTTAAAGAAATCGTTAATGAGTTATTCCATCAAGGTTACAGAAAATAGTGGGCAACAGTTAGCATGGGAAGTGACAACAACACTGTAAAAGTGAGGGTGAAGACCATTACTGCCACCTGCAGGGTTAAAGCTGGTCTTGTCAATATAGTATCAGTGCATTTGGATCTAATCCTTCAAAATAAAATTCCATCAAAAACTTGAGTTGTCCTCTGCAAATACCCTTTTCAAAATTCACTTTTTGAAGTGCAAAAATGGCTCCCGTCTCCCCCAGAAGGTAAACAGAATTATCTACGTGTGCCAAGGCCCGATAAGGATCTCTGTTGCAGCCCCAAAACAAACACACCCAAGGTCAGCTGCCCTCAAAGATACCAATCACACTCTGACCTCTAGCAGGCAGGTCTTAGCTGGTGGCATGTGATAGAGAGACCCCATATGTGAGCAGATGTGGCTGATTAAAGGCCAATACCTTCTTAGGGGACGAGCTGCTTCTTACAGGGCTGTCATTGAGGGGACACTGCTGTTTCATCCCTTTGTGCTGCCATCAAGAAAGTGACTCACACAGGGAAAATAATCGGGCAGCTTGGGGGTGGGGAGGTAAGAATGTTCATTTGGACCAAATGTCAGTGTGAAATATGTGCATATGTTCGCAAAATGAGTGCATACATCTGTGTGATGAATGGCTCGTTCTCAAAAACACTATTAAAATGACTTAATGTGTAAATCAGTGAACGAATGATAGACAATTGTGGAAAGGAGACTTCAGCCTGTATTAATTTACCATGAATGGATTATTTAAAGTTTCTGCTATTTGAAAATTGGTGTAGTTTCACTTTCATCAACCAGGCCCTACTAAGAAATGATGAGTTTTATACAAGCTACTTGCTGCAGCAGCTGCAGTCTTATGTAAAAGCCATGGTGTGTATGTATAGCAAGAAGGCATGAAACGTTGACAGAAATGCAAATGAAATGGGAAAGAAATGCAAATCCTAAACAATTTACTTCCCAGACTGGACTGTGTTTGCATGGCACTGTATTGTATGTATGCATGTATTTAATTTCTCTCTATGAAGACTATGTATTTTTTTCTTTTTTCTATTATTTTGCTACACTGTAGTGACTTACGTTTGTTGTTTGGATGCATACTCTGTAACACCATGTGCTGCAAAAGAACAAAATGTGTCATACTTGTTTCAAAACAAAAGCCAGAGGATATTTGTGTAATATAGCTGTAAATTACTCTTTTCTATATTTTCTAAGAAAACAAATATACTATAGAAAGATTTTTAATGACAAATTTTCTTATAACAAGCAAATAAAAAAAATTTTAAAAAAAAGGGGGGGGGGGGATGTTGAACACAGTAGGCCAGTAATAAACAGTGGAATGTTACCAGTATACTAGATCGTGTTTCTTGCAAACTGCAGTGTCAATGTTGATGATTCACGTTTTTATATGGGAAACTGTGGCCACCATTTATTGTTTATGTGTCTTGACTCCATTATAATCTTTACTTGGTACTCACATTTAAGGAAATTGAACCTTAAACAGCCCTTTGTCAGTCTTCTGAACAATCTATCAAGCTTTGTAATGATTACTTTGAACAGAAAACCTAGATTAGAAATTTACAGAATATTGGGAATAATGTTGTGATGAACATCTATTATAAGTCAAGCTTAGCAGCAAAAATATAAATATCTAGCTTAACTCTTCTGGAACTTTGGTCCTAAATATTAGTGTCCTCTTACTGTATGGAACCTGCCATCACTGCCTGACGAGCTGTTGTTTGCATCATATCCACATTCAACGCTTTTTGGCTTTTTTGTAATGACTTTAATACCTAGTGCCATCTGTTTCAGCTAAAGTCTGCTCAAAAGGGATACTAAAACAAATAGAAATGAATCTTCTATGACAACATGTAGAGTCTTTCCAGTTGAATGCTGTATCTTAATAGTTTCGTTATTGAAGAAGGAAACCTGAGAGGAGCCCTGCGTTATTTTGATAAGGTAAAAAATCCTTTGAAAACACCAAAGCAACAGTCTCTGATGTTCTTACACTATCTGGGCACATTCTCATATATACAACCCCATTTACGAAATGCAAAATAATGACCTGTAAATATTTAGGGCTGGGTTTGGGTTTTGTTTTAGCAAAATGCTGAATAGACAAAATTTTAAATATATATATATAAATTAAATATATGCTAGATGGAAAAAAAAAGCCAACCCCAGCCCTAATCATAAATGGGTCACAGGCTGACCACTTGGGGTTAGGTTCCATTTTAGTTGATGTTACAGTTCAAATAAATTCCCTTATGAGTATGAGAGCTCTATATGCCCAAGATAGGGTCTTGAAATATTCCATTTAAGGGGTAGATGTGAACCTAGGTATGATCTTACTTGTAAACAGATTGTCAACAGCTTTGTGGATGTAGAAGGTCAGCATTCTGAAGTCTAAGCCATCATCAGTGATCACCCTAAATCTTTACTATCAGAATGCCATTTTTGTTCTTTCAAAAAATTGTTCTCTCAAACTTGGCTATCAAAGGAACAACAAGAAACTAAAAACTGTCTGATTCAAATATTAGCTTGTTCCCTAACTCCCAGGCTTGGAGGACAAGTTGATGATGGCTTGAACCTCAAAGGGTTATTGTGTGGCTCATTCAAGTTGTTGATAGTTTCTGGACATTGGTGGCGCTCAGTGGCACAGAAGAAATAAATGAATTAGTGCTTGGATACAATATATGGATTGCTTTTTATAATTTTGGTTTGCATTGAGTTTGATTAGAAAAGATACAGAACTTTGCTAGTCTTGGTCTCTTATTAATAAACTCACACAGGATATGCTCTTAAAGATAGTGCACACTATGTGTTTATTCACTTTTTGATCTGAGCACATGTGCCTGCGCATATATAATTAATTTGTAATATTATTTAAAATGCAGGAGTGTTGTGTATTTTCTAATATTCGCATCAGTGCTTTTCTATAACCTTGTGCTATATGTGTGCTTTTGTCCATGTTGTCATTTACGTGATACTGTGACATTACAGGAAAATATCAATATGACAAATTAACCTCAAACACTTTATGTTAGAGGAGTATGATGCACAAAAGCAATTCAAAAAGAAAAAAGTATTTGACAAAAATCTTTGATTATTTTAAGAGTCAGTATTTAGGCAGGTAGATGAGTCTACTGTAAGTCTCATGGAATCCCTTGACCATGCACCAGCACATTTTCAGTTTCTATAACCAGGGACAGCACAATATTTCCACAATACAGGGCAATAAAATTATGCAATCACCACTTTGCTTGCTGAATAATCTACATGGCAAATCTGTTTCAACCACAGCCTCAGAGGAAAAAAATTCTAATTTTACTGCAAGTCATTGATCTTGTACGTCAAGTAACTAAGTCATAAGAATAGGGTGTTGTTGGCCCCGTTCATCAAACCTGGTAATTACAAGTTTCATATTTTATGTTAAACTTCAACATTTTGCAGGAAATCAAATGAAAGTGAGGTTATTTGGGTAAATTGGGGCCCCTTAAGTTTCTTTTTGTGAAGTATCTCTCTCTCCCTCTCTCTCTCTCTGTCTATCTATCTATCAGAAAGCTATTTTTTGCTACTGTTTCTCTGTCCACATCCATACAGTGCTGTCAGCTGAGGGTGTATAACTTGCTTAAAATGTCTAGAACAAGGACCAATATTGAGTAGAATAATGCATACATTTGGCTGATTGTTAGAGTTAATATAAATGTGTAAGCAGAGGATTCTGGTTAGTTTTTACCAAAGTCTAAGACTACTGTGTCTTAAAAGATGACACCACTTAGATTAAGAAGGCATATATTCTTTAGATTGATGTGGGCTATGCAGTCATGATGTTAGCAGAATCAGATCTTCTTCAACTCAAAGACTATTTTAGATTTTTTTGTGTGCAGCTAGATTAAACTACTGTGTAAGACTTGCAGTAACAAACTAACTGTTTAAACAAAACTCTGTGAGTTACAATAACAGAATAAATGTAAAAACTAAAAGCTAAAAGCTAAAAAAGTAGCTTATGAACAATTTTTCAAGTTATTAAACTGGTAACTTCAGCTATACAGAAAGCTTTGATCAGGAAACATTAGCTTGACTAATTTGTAAGAAGAAGAATGTGTTATTTGGCTTTAGAAATACGCATAGTATGTGAGGTAACATAACAATATCATGGTTTCCTTATCATCAGTGATGGCTTTCAATTTATGCTATCAGAGTATGATGTTTTTTCTTAAACTGGGTGGTGTTCTCTTTTAAGTGTTGTTAAGCGCCTGTTAGTGATGTAAATCTGTGCTTTTTACATAGGGGGTGTCATTGCCTTACATATATTTTTCAATATTCAAGTGCAGATGTTGATATTGTTAATGTGGAGTATTTTTCTTAGATTGTGACTGCATTTCATACATCTTTAGAACCAGGTGTAGTAAAGATACACTGTGATGAGATGACAATGCTGTCAAGTAGATTTTAAAGTGCTTTTCGTTCTTATTGACCTTTCATACATCGGACATACAACAATAAAAGTAAGAGACAAAAATACACGTTTGTGCCCAAAAAGGCTGTAAGAATGGGCACAATCCCCTTGCCACCACCTGGAGTCACTGCTAAACATTTTCTATTTTATGTAAATGCTAACATCACCCAGATATTAGATCAGTGTACAGCTCTGCATGGCTTTACATTTTGGGTGCATTCCTTAAAAAAGACCAGGAAGTTACAAGCTCTAGCCTTATGTTGCTTGTTTTTCTTGTTGCCTTGCTAGGTGTTGGCAGAGCTTTAATTCTCTTTTGCTAATTTATGCCTCTTGCCAAGCAGCTGGAAGATTTAACTTCATTTGACTGCAGCAACAGAGAAAGAAATCAAGGGAGGAAAAGAGCAGAAGCAGGAATGACGAAGATGTTTGAGGGAGGAAGAGGTAGAGAGAAAAAAACGGATGCAGGCAAAACAGGAGGTAAGCTCTTATTTGAATTTGAGAAGATTTGTGCAGCAGGAATGATGGGAAGGTTTCCGGTGAAGGGAAATGTTATATGAATCCAGGGTGATTGCAGTGCTTTGAAAAATGTTCCCTTTGAGTGCTTTGCTGGTGTAATGAGACTTACCGGCTTAGTTTACTCACAGAGCTTCAAAAGTTCCTGCCTGCGGTGACAAATGCAGATTTTTCTTGCTTCAGAGGAAACTGATTCTATCTTGCGAACACAGATCTTTGTAAGTACTCTTTCCTGAAAAGAAAATGGTATTACAACAAGGCGTCAGAATAGTCACATAAATAGTGTTCCATTTCATCGAAAGAGAAAAGTTATGCTGGGACAAAGCACTCAGGTGACTTAAATCTCTGAACTTGCAACCAAAAACTTTATGTTCACTCTCAGATGGCATGACACTAAATAATTTATTAATTTTATCTCAGAATTAGATTGGGGTTTTACTTCAGTGACATGGTGGTGAAGCAAGAAGGTTTAGGATTCAAACCCATTGGCCAACCTGGGATTTTTTTCATGTTCTCCGTGTTTTGTGCAGGCTCTCTGTTCCTTCGTACTTCCCACAATTTTTGTGTTTTAGATTAACTTTTCTATAATTGAATGGTTCTTCTCTGTATTGGCTGTACTCGGTCCCTTAATACAAAATTAAGGGTAGTTAAACTATCAAAGAGCTGCAAGGAATTATCTTTTCATTCAGTGATTTGAAGCACCACTTTGGGCCAAACAGAAATACCTTAGCTATCGAATAGATTACTAATGTTGTGTTGAAGCAGTCCAGTTCCATTAAGGATGTACCCTACTGACGTGAGTGGCTCTCTAGCACCATCAAAGGATCATGCCACCAGGTCTTCAGTCATAGGACTCATATCATTTCCAGTAAAACTATATTAATGACTTTAGGTGATCAACAAATGTTTCAGTACATATGTGTATTATCATCTATCAAAGGGTATAGGACCCCAGGAAACCTCAATTCATTAACATCTTTCAGTAGATTGAATAGTAATTTGTTAACACTGTGATGTCTAAGTTAGTCATCAGTGGTAACCCTAAGCCAGTCTTGGCAGTCAGAAGACAAAGAATGTAATAATTAGTTCATCAAAAGTTATTTATACTAAGTCATTAAGTATTACATTAAGTAAGACAGTTAGAGCTGTCATTGATGATGACTTAGACCTCACAGGTGGTTATTT